AGCACACTGTGTTCAGCATTAATGCTGGTGGTAGCAGTGTTATTTCTAAGAGGACAATGACAGACTTGAAAGGAAATAATTACAATGTGAGAACGAGATTTCCAACACTGTTTTGTAAATAACTGTTGCTTTGCACTAATTCAAGCATTTAGCTCCAATAAAACCCATAACTGTCAACATTGTTGTCTACCATAAATCGCCATTTTAACAAATGTTTGAACAAGCATTAGCTCTCAGGTCAAATCTAGTAGATTTCATTGGAGAGAGCTTTTTGTTTGGGCTCTGGATTTGACAGACTCTGTGTATGTTAACAAGATGATTGAGCATCAACAGAGAAACAGTGAAGGGCAAAGGGAGGTTAGCCTTCAGCTCTCTCATGCTGGGATGTGAGCTCTGGCCTGACAAACTACAAACCCAGAATACAAACTGTGCTCAGATAAACCACTTTAACCCCACTTCTTGGATGGCCTCTTTTCTTGCCTGCCATCTTCTTCAATTCTCCAAGGTGACTTTGTAGATTGCAACCTCAAAATGCCATCATTATCTTTGGAGGCAAACTCCCTTCAGTACAACTTCCCTTTTGTAGGATTTATTTGCACATTTGAAAGGGAAGAGAAGTTTTAATATATATGTAGCTTTAAATGACTAACAATTTTTGTGGGAGGTCAGAAAGTTGCATGGTGGGTCCTAAAGTGATCAGAATATTTAAACCCTTGTTTATTGTATAATTTGGTTCCTTAATTATGATTTAACAAACGAGAACCCAGCACTGTCAGTTTAAAGCCCTGGACAGCGTCTTAAGAAAGTCTGGTCAATGAAACTTTGAAAGGCGTCCAACTGTCCCTAAAAATAGCAAGTATGGATCCTGAAACCATCGCCTTCTGTTTCCTTCCACTCTCAGTGCCGCAAAGGAGTGCAATCCGTCAGGTGATAAACACCGTCTGATGTCGCTACTCTGTCAGCTCCAAGTTAGCAGAGACAAAGGAAACCAGTATTTTAAAGGGAAACATTTGTGGTTCAGTTGGTGTTGAAAGCGCACAAAGTGATCAGCAGAATACTGGAGAATTTTACTGCGTTTGTGGAAGACTGAACGAGGGCAATTCATCGGTCTTATGCCTCTCTTCATCGATTAAACGGGTAAGATAGAACATCTTTTATCTGAACGGCTGTGTCAGGACTACATTTAAGGCTATTTAGTTTGGCGTTTACATTTAAGACATTAGGCTATTTAGTTGGGCGACTTCGTAGCCTACATTCCTGACAGATACGTTTTCACGGGATCGTATGCAGACTTCAAAACGTGCACTAAATCATTTTTATTGCATGTTAGCCTAAATACAGAATATTTTCACATTCAAAATGGTGCACATATTTCAAGTATTCTTGCTTAATGGTTTTAATTAACTTCAACATCTGAATGTGTTTCTCGAAATATTGTGCAGATATTCAACTACAAACTTTTCGCACATTGAAAGTAAATTACTGAGCCTTATTAGTTTCCCTTTGTTAATATTGTTATGACAAGACTGTGCATTGTCCACTCCGGGGACTTTATTAATGAAGTCTGCAAAAATCCTAAGCGTGCATAATCTTTATAAAGATTTTTTTTATTACCAGTGTATTTGATCAAGGGAATTTTAGACGGATAGCCTAGACAGGGCTACTTTAATGTTTCATAACTGTGGATTCAGAGGTATTTAATCATTAGCTAGGGTGCTACAAAGGCTGTCCGGGGGTTCAACTGTGGGGCGGAGGCGTTTCAAACGACTAGTGGCTAACATTGATGGTAGCACATGTAGGAAAAAAATACAAAGTCATGCGTTTCTTTTGTGAGCACAAAGAGTTTGTTGTTAGCCTACACTTTTGAGAAGAATTTGGAAAATAGACTGAAGACACGCAGACTTATTTTCACACCATAGCCTACTTTTAAGCGCTTTCTTAGTAGCCCTCTGTCTCCTCCTGTATCCTGACTTCTCACGTCCTTGTTGTTCTTTACCTGTACAATCCACTTTTAGCATGAAACAACGTAATTTTAATGACACATTTCATGTCCGTATGTAGCTATATATAACAATTAAGGCCAATTTCGGGACTGTGCAGGTTTGTCTCGGGCAGGTGTGCGATTTGTAGCACGCTTTTTTTTTTTACAGCGTGATGAATTTCGAGAAAAAATATGGTGCTTACATTTGTAATTTTAAGCTATTTTCAGCAGCACAAAGTTTTAAATTACATTTTATAGAATGATTATAGCGACTGGAGGTATGCTATATTTGGCCTAAAATTCTACATTTAAGGCTATTTAGTTTGGCGTTTACATTTAAGACATTAGGCTATTTAGTTGGGCGACTTCGTAGCCTACATTCCTGACAGATACGTTTTCACGGGATCGTATGCAGACTTCAAAACGTGCACTAAATCATTTTTATTGCATGTTAGCCTAAATACAGAATATTTTCACATTCAAAATGGTGCACATATTTCAAGTATTCTTACTTAATGGTTTTAATTAACTTCAACATCTGAATGTGTTTCTCGAAATATTGTGCAGATATTCAACTACAAACTTTTCGCACATTGAAAGTAAATTACTGAGCCTTATTAGTTTCCCTTTGTTAATATTGTTATGACAAGACTGTGCATTGTCCACTCCGGGGACTTTATTAATGAAGTCTGCAAAAATCCTAAGCGTGCATAATCTTTATAAAGATTTTTTTTATTACCAGTGTATTTGATTAAGGGAATTTTAGACGGATAGCCTAGACAGGGCTACTTTAATGTTTCATAACTGTGGATTCAGAGGTATTTAATCATTAGCTAGGGTGCTACAAAGGCTGTCCGGGGGTTCAACTGTGGGGCGGAGGCGTTTCAAACGACTAGTGGCTAACATTGATGGTAGCACATGTAGGAAAAAAATACAAAGTCATGCGTTTCTTTTGTGAGCACAAAGAGTTTGTTGTTAGCCTACACTTTTGAGAAGAATTTGGAAAATAGACTGAGGAAGACACGCAGACTTATTTTCACACCATAGCCTACTTTTAAGCGCTTTCTTAGTAGCCCTCTGTCTCCTCCTGTATCCTGACTTCTCACGTCCTTGTTGTTCTTTACCTGTACAATCCACTTTTAGCATGAAACAACGTAATTTTAATGACACATTTCATGTCCGTATGTAGCTATATATAACAATTAAGGCCAATTTCGGGACTGCAGGTTTGTCTCGGGCAGGTGTGCGATTTGTAGCACGCTTTTTTTTACAGCGTGATGAATTTCGAGAAAAAATATGGTGCTTACACTTGTAATTTTAAGCTATTTTCAGCAGCACAAAGTTTTAAATTACATTTTATAGAATGATTATAGCGACTGGAGGTATGCTATATTTGGCCTAAAATTAAGGCCAGTAGCCTTTACCTACTTTTTAAAAGCCTCCAATCTTTCCCGTTTGACGTCCATTGGGGTTCTAGCTTTAATTTGGGCGATCAGATGAATGCTCTAATGGATTCATGAAATGGATAGCTACGTTTACAGTTCCGTTCAATATAATAGAATTTGGAATTGATATTTTTAGCATCGCTCAAATCAAGAATAACTTAGCGTAGGCCTATATCTTTCCTGAAAATATCTATATTACAGTTTTCCAGTGTAAACCGTCCCTTATTATAGATAGCAGCGACGTAGGTGTTATTTCGGTTTTGACTCACAATATCTGTTGCTCACACTACAGCATGGTTTTACAACAGACCCATTTTCTGCTAACACTGGCAACAGGCTAGTACATTTGTGAATATCTCTGTATTACAGTATCAAAAGGTGTTTCCTCAGGTTATAAATCACCGATGTGTCACAGCTGACGTCGACTGACACTCGGTGGAAGCCCCTCTCCTTCCCTCGCGCTTTTTGTTCTCTGGTTTGCTTCATTCGCGAGGCTTCGTCTTATTTTCATCACCTCGAGCTTCATGCGGGAGCCGTCTGTCTTTATCAATGTGCATTAATGTAGGCGACAACGTGGAAGAGATAAGGTGAGATAACCTTGTTGATATCAAAGAGCACCACGTGAAGGTTTGCGTTTGATTGTGACATTGGCGGACTTGTTACTACCACGCGCTTTGTAAACTCGACTTCTGTTGTCTGTATGTGTAACTGCATTGACGGCTGTTGATAAATGTCGATAGAAGGTACGAGAACCATCACTTTTTCTCTTATGTTTAAAAAAAAGCATGCACTTTTGTTTATTTACAATGCGTTTCTTGCAGAGCTCTTATCTCATCGCCTGGCGCCTTTGTTTTGGATTTGCCAAGGATTTCCTAAATCGAGAGTGGGTATACACGACTGAAGGATTTCGGGTTTTAATCTAAATCGGGATCTATACATCCAAACTGGGATCTATGAGCGGAAAAGTGGCTAAGCCTAAAGAAGAAAAGGATGCTTCAAAGGGTAAGAAGAGTCTTAACACGTCTTGATTGCTCACAGTACATCACAGGTTTAAAGCGACCGTGATCTCATTCATCTCCCACTCGTTGCATTGTTGCTCAATTGGGAAAACATAAAAGCATTTATATAAAGTGGCCAAGATAAATGTAAAACGTTGAAAAATGATTAGCAGCTCCGCCGAGTAACAGAAAACTGCCACCTGATAAAGACCAAAAATCAGCAGAAATTTCATTCAGTCTGTTCTGCAGAGATGAATTGTTGGGGCTGTCGCTTTAACGTAACTTGCGATACAACCAATGATTATTCTGTTGAATTTCCCTTTTTTTCCTTCCTTGCACATTAAGGTAGGTCTGAGTAACCGTTCAAATATTTATCACGTTTGCAACGATCTGCGCTGTGTGATGAAGCTTAATCGTTTGTTTGGGTAGCTACTGCGCAAATGACCTATTGCGTAAAACTGAGCTTCTGCATGTCTCTGAATCAGCCGCGCTTTAGCGGGATGTAAACTGGCCAACCATTGCCATGGAGACAAAGGGGCTACAGGGTTGCCAAAGAAACCTCCGCGCGATTAATTGATGTGGGGTTTTCATTTCAGTTTACAACGACATGAATATGCTGTGCACCTTGGTTCCGACTGATGAAAACCCAGTGTAGTATAGCCTGATTACTTGTTAAATAAACCTGCCACTGTATATTAGGAATATTGTTGGCACAGTGACAAATTGCTTTTGTTCCCTTTTGTAAGTCGCTTTTGATAAATGCATAAAAGTAAATACAAAATGATAAAACTAAATTTAAAAGCAAGCAGCTTATAATATACTGTATAT